ACCTTGAAAACGGCAAGGACTCGTCCAAGCAGTTACTGCAGTGTCAGCAATGACTGAGCGCAGACAAAAAAACAAAAAAAAAGGATGAGATATAGGATGAAGAGATCTTTGATGTTAGAGAAGGTAATAAGTTACTGAAATTGTTTGTACTTGTCTTGATGAAGAAAAAAAAGGATGAGATATAGGATGAAGAGATCTTTGATGTTAGAGAAGGTAATAAGTTACTGAAATTGTTTGTACTTGTCTTGATGAAGTGGGAAGTCATTTCTTTATATATTTTTTTCTTTATATATTTTTTCTTTTTCCTCCCCCCTTTTTCCTTTTTTTTCCCTTTGCACTTTTTATTCTTTCTTTTTCTTAGTTTTTTACTGTATTTTAATCTTTAATAAAATTGTTAAAAAAAGAATCCTAAATACAACTAAAATTCTGTGAAATAAACATCCTTTTCAGATTATTTTAATTTTTGCATATCTTTGCCCATGTGGGCTCCTCAATATGTACAAAGAGTCTAAGCGAATGAATAACAAAAAAAATTGTGCATGTTTCATTAATTTCACAGAAATATATATTTTTTTTACTGAACCGTAATTCTGTGGTATGCACACACTTTCTCACCAGGTCACTTTCATATAAACACACTGCACATTGATTAAAACATTTGAATTCCTCTTTTTTCATTTAACTTTTCTAACCAATAAAGCAGGTTTTTCATTTAGAATGTAATAGACAAATCCCTCTATTTTACAGATCTTGATGTAGTGGAATTCAGATGCAATTGATGAAATTTGCCTATATATTAAACACTCCTGGGCATATGTAAAGTCTCATTCAGTTTACACATACAGTGCATTTGGAAAATATTCAGACCCCCTTCACTTTTTGCAATTTTGTTATGCTGCAGCCTGATACTACAATCATTCAAATTCATTTTTTTTCTCATTAATCTACACTTAGTACCCCATAATAACAAAGTGAAAACAGAATTTTAGAAATGTCTGCAAATTTATTAAAAAGGAAAAACTGAAATAGCCTGATACTACAATCGTTCAAATTCATTTTTTTTCTCATTAATCTACACTTAGTACCCCATAATAACAAAGTGAAAACAGAATTTTAGAAATGTCTGCAAATTTATTAAAAAGGAAAAACTGAAATATCACATTGGCATAAATATTCAGACCCTTTGCAACAACACTTAAAATTTAGCTCAGGTGCCTCCCATTTCTCTTGATCGTTGCTGTTTCTACACCTTGATTGGAGTCCACCTGTGGTAAATTAAATTGATTGGACATGATTTGGAAAGGCACACACCTCTCAATAGAAGGCCTCACAGCATACTGTATCAGAGCAAAAGCCATGAGGTCAAAGGAACTGCCTGCAGAGCTCAGAGACAGGATTATTGCAAG